GCACAGCCCCACGAGCGCCGTGGGCACCGGCCACCGCGCCGGCCTCAGCCTGGCCGCTTCCTCTGCAGCCTCCCTTCTGACTCCGCGGAGYTGGGCGAGACAGGCCCGTGGAGACCGCTCCGCTTCTGTCCGGGAGGGAACCTATCTAAAGACATTTAACCAAAAGACATTAAAGACATTTAACCAAAAAGAGCCTCTGAATTCTACCTTTAGATTTAGAAAAGCATCTCCTACCTGTGAGGAGTGTTTTCAGACTTGACTTTCCCTGTGAGATTTCTAAGGAGCAAGCTGGTGGATAATACAKGATATTTAAGAAAATACTATCTTTTGGCAGAAAGCAGTAGAGAGAATGCTGGAAGAGTAAGGGATTAAGGAAGGGATGTTGCTTTGTTGTTTGTGAGATTGATAGCAAATTTTGGCCCATGCTTAGAAGGCCTGAGCCTGTTGTTGTTGAATCCTTTAGGTCGTTGGTGGACTGGGGATAGATGGTGGATCTTTAATCTTGAAGCAGACCAAAAAAGTGACTGCCAGCAAACAGGTGGATCCAGGCGGATCCGTGCCGTCTTGAGATGTAATATCAAGCTGCATGATGTGAGGGTGGACWTGAGGAATGCTCGTGTTGTCTGGTGTAAAATGGGAGATCTGGAGTGTGGGAGTAGTCAGCAGCAAAGCCATAGTGCCCAGGTTAAGCAGGTGTTCAGSACCAAGATAAGTCCAGAAGACTTTTCCATTGAGGACAGCAGCTGGTGTACTCCTGTAAGACTCTTTTGCTTGGGAGAATGAGCAAGCTGCTTAACAAMCCCTCCCACGTGCGACCACACCGCAGCACTAAGCGCCTCTAACGGAGCAGTTTTTACGTCTGTATGCACTGTGGGGTGCACCAAAGCGCATGTGTGGGTGATGGCAGTCCATAGGTGCATTTGCTGGAGTCCTCCTCGTCTCCAGSCTTGGGGTTCTTCCTTTTGCCAAATGATAATGTGAAAATTTAGAGCTCATGATGAAACGTGCTGGGAAACCTAAATGTGCACAACMGTTTGAAGAGAGATAGGAGCTTAGTGCTCGCATCTCCGGTACGCCAGGGTAACGCAGACGTGCTCCGTAATGCTATGTAGCTGCACAGCTGGGGTATTATTAGAAACTCATTTCAAACTGAGGTGCTCAAATAAAGCTCGAGGATTGGTGTGCTGCTCAGTTTACCCCAGTGATGTTTACAACCATCTTGAATCCCTTAATCCTTTGGAAAGTTTCAATCCTCCTGAYGGTGTGAGCCTCTTTCCACACTGTCAGATTTGGATATTTATTCTAGAGAAGAACTTGAGTCGAAATACAGCTCTTTTGGCAGTGGAAACTTCCTTTGAAGTTTCCAGGTCTTGTGCATCTCACATTTGCTGTGTTAAGCTGCAAGAACAAAGCGCTCCATGAAGCGCCCTGCAAAACGTATGTGTCGCACRTCTGCCAGCTGGGATGGGATGGGCAGCCATCCCACTCGCTCCCCACACAGGAGAGCCTGGGAACSAGGAGCTCCTCCAAATCCTCCAGCCGCTGCAGTAGGCAGAGCCGGYGCTAATGCCATTGGGTGCCGCCTCAGTGCCAGGCCAGCCGGGCTGAAGGCTTCSCGAGGCGGCCTGCTCCGGTGCTCTGTAGGATAGGAGGGTGATGTACCCGCACTGGCATTTCTGGACTTGCACCAGGGATCTCTTGGACAAAGAGAAGTTGTCTGATTTTTGTAGGTTATTCTGATCCAGCTCATAGTCCTTRCATTTCCTGTCATGGATCAGCAGTGCTAGTTGCCTGTCCAGACCATGAGCTCTCTCAGCTTGTGGGCAGCGAGCTTCTCTTCTGTGCTAAGAAGGTGCCTGGTATGGGCCCCTCCTGCGTCCATGGGACACTCAGCCCCATGACATCGGTGGMCTTGCAGCTTGGTGCCCAGATCAACAAGGAGTTGAAGTCAAGAAGGGGAGAAAGCACGATAGAGGTTGCAGCAGGCGGAGACTGCAGGAACAAGCCGTTCTGCTTTCCTCTCACCCAAACCAAAGTGGTTACCTCAGCTTAGACAAACTCGGCTGTGGGTCGGGCTTGGGCAGGTGAAGTTGCAGACAGAGGTGAGGCTGGGGCGGGGAGCCAGAGCTGCTGTCCAGCTCCTCTGGTGAGGCCTGGGCACCCTGGCTCGTGCTGCGTGGTACAGGCGGTGACACTGCTGGGCACAGCCCCCGCGCCGCCTGGCTCTGCAGCTCCATGCGGGCGCTGCAGGGAAGCGCTGCTGGGACCAGGAGCTGCCGCGCCAGGGCTGGGGCCATGACGCCCTTGTCAATGCGGTGCTGGGCGAGCTGCGGGGGCCTGACAGGGCCTCTGCCTCCCTTTCATGCCAAGCAGAGGGTTTGTGCACTCCGAGGCTGCGCTGAGGGCTGCCCCAAAAGCGCAGGCCTCAGCTGAGCTGCGAGTTATGGCAGGCACAGCTGGCAAGAGTCAGGTTTTTAATTTCATGAGCAAGGGAACGGGTATGTGAAAACCTGGGACCAGGATCTCAGAGCAAGCAGCAATACTCATTTTGTGAGTTCATATGCTAGCTAAAATCAAAGTCTGCAAAAGAATATCTGTTAAAACATCTTTTAGTGCTGTTGCCTTGGTATCAATCAGATAYGTGAGAAAAGGGGAGAGAACTTTCTGGGGCTCAAACAAAAAGAAATGAGAGGATTGGCAGAAAAGCAGCAGGGTAGGACCCCAGAAACGTTACCACAGTCATTTCTCTCCGGTAGCTGCAGCTACTGGAGTTATGACATAAGGTAGTGTGAATGTGCCACGGGATTCAACACKGCACCCATAAGGCACTTTCAGTCTTCTGCTGTGATACTTACTTAGATGTGTATATGTATATATACACACATATATATTGCATATATATGTACACCTACATATACAGATGTACACACAAACACATATATTCCCAGAACAAAACTCTAGTGCAGCACTGTTGGTTGCCAGACTGAAGACKCCATAACAGCATGTAGAGGAAGAGGAGGGACCTGACGGTGCTCCSAGGACACTCGGCCTCCATGTCACGGTGAGTGGAGCAGCCTGTTGAGGGAGGTAAAGGGCACCGTAAAGAAACCCCCTCCACGTGCCCGTGCCTTCTACTGCCTCTTGGGCAGCACGTTTCCTGTGGGCCTCCAGCTGACATATGATTGTTTCAACAGATAAATACCAAAAAGATGCCAATAGAGTTATGTTGTTGAGGTGGCTCTAAAGCAGAATGAGCTCCTAGAGAATGATGGAAGCCATGAAGGTGGTTTGCTTAACAGGTTTGTTATTTTGCATTAACTTGGCTGGAAGACAGCGTTGGAACTGTAGTATCAAGTGAAAGACTTTTAAACTCTGCTTAAGGGTGTTTGATCCTGGTTGTATTGGTGGCTTAAAGTGTACTTAAGCACAGCCTGAACTGATTGGGATGTCAGACTTTGCCTTCTGTCATTTTGCTTCTCTGCCTTGGTCTGCATTCCCACCCTGCAGCATAACGCAGCTCAGCGATCTCTTGTTCTCCTTCATAGTTMAGCAAATGCCTTTGCTCTTTGCACTCAATCTTCAACTATTGATCAGATCCCTGCATTAAATACTCCCATTTTTACCCATCAGAGTCCACTGCACAAATGGCTCCTTCTGTCATTGCAGCACTGGGAGCCATGGGCAGCATCCTCATCCTGCTCCCGTTTCTGAGAGTAAAGCCATAACCTGAGTCTTGAAGGGCCTGGGCAACAACACAGGTAATCCTGAAATATCTTGAAGATGTCTTGAGTATGTTTCTTTTAACACAGCAGGCTTGCTTACCCCTCTTGCTTACCTCTTTGTTTTTATGTAAATACTGAGATGATCATAACTGGGTATAGAGATACTTTCTGTTGTTTTTCTTCCCCCATTAAGAAAACACCTAAATGAACAAATTCTTGCAATTGGTAGCTGCTCAGTGACTCTGCATGACTTTTACTCACTTCAGGCCAGCTGGAACGGTGCTCCTTTTGCTGGCTTTGCAACTACATGGAGAGGGACTACATTTTAGTAGAACAGAGCCATAGTTTTTAAGTGTATTAATATTCTTTTCCACCCATGTGTTTTCTGCTGTCTATATAGATCTCTATATATGTATATTTGTATTTTAATGACAAGTAGCTCTCTAAACAGGAAAAAAAAAAGTCATAAATAAGCAAACTGTGTACCCTGATAGAAAGACACACAGGAAAACGATGATTGTTGGTCAAGGAGATTTAGGAAAGGAACTGACATTTGGTTTCTGAGTTTCCAAGACAGCCAATAACTCACCTTTCTTCAGGGCTCTGAGGAAACTGCTTTATGGATCCACCTGGAGGTTTTGTAGGATTTTTTTTTCTTAGAGGCTTTATTTCAAGCTCTCCTAAGACCCTAAACATCAGTGTTGGTTGCAGCATGGATTTATTCTCTGCTGTGAAACTACAGTCAATTGACATGAATAAATAATAAACATCAAATTTTCAATCTGAGATGCAGAAACAAAATGCTTTTGGGAGAAGTTTTATCCACTTCAGAAGCTTCTTCTAGCTAATTCCTCCAGAGTCAATCCCTAACCTGATCCCGGCGCTTCTTGCACGGCTCCCAAAGGCCACGTGGTAAATTCTCCATAGAAGTGAAGCAGAGGACACTCTAGCACCTGTTTGCAGAAATGCTACATAAAATGTCCTGCAAAATATTTTAATATCTACCAGTCAGCTGGCAAACTTGACCCGATTTAGACTTTATAGAATATATAATATTAAACTCAGAGCAAGAGGGGGAAAAGAAAAAGACAAAGTAACATGAAAAAACACATTTTATTGCACTTAAGTTATAAGAAAATAAAATTTCTAAGTGAATCAAACCATAGACACAATCCCTTTAAAGGTTGTTTTCCTCCATCATGTCAGGTTGTTACATAACTAAAATTAACCAACTGGAATCTGATTGTTTTAAATCAGACTATAAATAAAACAAAAACAAAAAAGGAGGAAAAAAGATCGCCTAGGATACAGTGTTAAACCACTTTCACAGTTCAGCTTGAGTTGTGGCTCTTGGAGAATGAGGCAAACCATTTGACTCGTTCATTTTTTGTTTTGTTTGCGTGTGACAACTTTACAAAAACGTAAGTTTTTGCTCTGTCAGTTCCTCCCAGCAATAACTGTAACAGTTGTTTCTTCTCAAATACTGTAAAACACTAAGACTGACCAGCAACTTTATTTTCCTTTTTGTATTTTATAATATTTTTTAAAAATTTTGTCAGTTTTTTTTTTATGTATGTTCATTCCATTCACCACAGCCCTCACAAAGAAAATTTTCCCCACAGAACAGGCTGCAAGAGCTTTGTTCTAAGGAATGTGTTTTAATTTTTGCCCAGAAAAAAAGAAAATAAGCTTTGCACACACACTCAATTCTTTATTTGCAGGCAAACTTCACTCTTAATTGTCTGAAACTCTTCCACTCTCAGCCTCTTAGAGGCACAGTTGGCTCAAGTTTCAGTGGCAAAAAGTCTTTTTCCGTAACCAAACTAGAGCAAATTTGGAATTCAGTCTGGGACTAAAACGTCACAGCAGAAAAAAAAATAAAAAAAAATAATTTGCTTTTCTTCCTTTCATTTAGCAGCATAAATAAGTTTGGCCACTGGGAATACAGTACAGGGGTGGGACAACAATCCCGTAATTGAAGACCTACTTCTAGCACCAGCATTGCGAATTAAATCCATCAGAGGACTCTCAAAACCCAGGACAACTTGCCACCTCAGAGCAACTTATGTGTTGAAGAGTGTAGATGGAAGCAACAGGAAATAGATTAAACAGAGGCTAATACTGTGATTGACATTGGCAATGGTTGGCAAAAAAAAAAAAAAGGAAAAAAAGAAAAAGCTCTGATAAAACTGTACAAAACAATTCACAGTAATATTTTAGCTTTTCCACACCAGGAATGGACTTTTTTTTCTCTTTTCATTGCAGATGCTCTCTACGTTTTGCAAGTCGCAGAGGTTGGGTTGGACGGGTGCGCTGGAGGTCGGCTGCCCTGCCCGCGCAGAGCGGGGCCCGTGCGGCGCCCCGGCCGCGCGAGCGGCCCCGCGGCTGCAGCTTCGCTCCAGATCTTTGCGGTAAAATAACCTGGTAACAAGAATTCTAATTTTTTTTTTTTTAACCTCCAAATTGCTCAAGGAGCACTTGGAGGAAAAATAAAGAAATAATTGCACCTGGTTTCATTTAGAAAGTCGTATTTTTGCAAAGCTGCCCCGGTCAAAAGTGTAGCCTTTTTATGTGACGAGACAGCAAATGCCTCTCTTGTCAGTTATAGTTTGTCATGTTTGTCTTCTCCTTCGTAGTCTGTAGGTCTTTAGGATCTGTTGCCCCAAGCCAACATCCTGCACCACCAAGGATAAGGGATTTTTTTTTCCTTTTTCTTTTTTTTTCTCTTTTTTTCTATTTTTTTTTTTCTGTTTTTCAGGGGGAGGGAAAGGAGAACATCGTCTACACCTCTGGACAAATTCATCTTTCTGCCCTTCACTTCATATCCACGTCAAAGTCCAACACCAGCAGCTTTGTTTCCTCAGTCCCGTTCCGGCTGCCGACGGCGCACACGAGCTTCGTGTTGGAAGCTCTGATCCGCCACACGACGCCTCCGCTCCCCCCGCTCTCCAATGTGACTAGATTTCGGATAAATTCACCCGTTTTCAAGTCCCAAAGTTTTACAGTTCCATCATCTGAGCTGGTAATTACAAAGTTCTTGTTGAACTGTAAACAGGTCACAGCACTCTGATGCTTGTTGGGACCTGAAACAGTAAAAGCAGAACATCTTTGCTTGCAATCAGACAGCAGCGACAGACAGCASTGCCTATAAAATAAATACCTCTATATTTGCATGCAGGTGTTTATATCTCCTAGGTGTATTAATCCAATTTTTGTGCACATATTTTGGGAGAAATCCCCCAGTATTTTCTTCCTTGTTGCAGTTATCCTGTTTTGCAGCACGCAAACAGTAAGGTGAGTGTTTGCTGGAAATGCGCGGGCGGCCTGAGCGGGGCAGGACAAGGCGACCACACAACCAGCCCTCACTCCTACTTCTAGATTATAGATCATGTTGGGGCTGCTATTAATTTCAGTTAGTAGCTGTAAATATTTAAGAGTAAAAAGAGCAGARTCTCTTTTAGGGTGAAATTAATTCCAGGGATCCTGGATATAAGTGAATGATATAAGGCGTTGCTTAATGAAAGAAAACTGCACTAATTCGCACATGCCTGAGTGGCAACTGTCAGAATGGAACCTGAAATCTTTCTTCCTTATGAAATAAAGGAAATGTCTTCCACTCATTTCTCTTGATTTATTGCAATAGACAGTGTACTTTGCCTCCCAATCCAATTAATCAGTAGGCTTTGAAACATCCAAGTGATCCCTAAATAAATAAGTTGACTGACTGTTTTGAGATGCCATTTCCCACATATTTCTGTGGTTTATTAGGCTAATATACCCGTGGCAAATTTCTATCAACCCAGACCATCTGCCTTTCATAATAGGCAAGTGATTTGAATAGATTAGATTAAATACATTTTGTTCCTCTGACTCCGAGAAAGATCACAGAGCTGTCATCAGAAAAAATATCTAAGTTGTAAATGGTCTGTGCTTGTTACTTTGTATGTAATTTTTAAGGTTTTTTTTAGTAGAATACGTAGCATAGACAACTGCAGTTGGCTTTATCTACATCCAAGAAGTTTAAACTCACCTTGCAATGTCTGTAAACATTGTCCTGTTTTAATGTCCCAGATTTTGACTGTGGAATCGGCATTCCCAGACACCAGGATATTGTCCTTGAGTTCCATTCCACTTGTTAATGACTGGTGGCCTGTTAGCGTGTGAATGCAGTTTCCTGTCTCCACATCCCAAACTCGGATGGAAGTGTCAAGAGATCCACTCACCACGTGGATGCCATCAAACTACAAGAAAGGTAAATCTATTACAAGCAATTACATTAGGGTCTTATGATATGCTATATATAACAAAGGTTATTGAGCATTTAATTCACTAAATGCAACATTAGATACTGTATATATTTGCAAATGGCATACTGAAATAAGCACTGCATTATTGCGAGGGTGAGCAATTCATAGTCACTGGGTTTTTTTTTAACACAGTACAATGATTTTAAGCACAATAAAATCCCAACTATACTACAACGTAAGCAAAGAAACAGTAAAAGAATTTTGTTCTCCTAATGTCTTTTTTCCTGCCTCTCATTATGTCCAAACCGTAACTGTGTGCACTAAGGAACTTTTTAAATTCCTAGGTAGATGTTGCAAAAGCAAAATGAGCTCATAGAGGTGCCTGGAGTTGCGGAGTGCGTGTGTGTTTGCTCCATCAGTTGTATATAAACCAGAAGCGCGTGCAACRTGAACACACTCACAGATGAGATACTGCTGACCGAGAATGGATGAATGTGTAGGGAATAAAATGGTGAAAAGAAGTAACTTGAGTGATAGTGACAATGAGATGTGAGAGTCCAGCATTCTTAGAACGGGAAGGAAAAAGAGCGGTAGAATAAAAACAGTGGGCTTCAAGAAGAGATACTTCAATAGATTAAGACTTCCTTCCCATGAAGTTTTTATATATCTAGTCTCAGAGGGGAAGAAGAGTTCAGGGGAGCTGGCACTTTCTTAAGGACACAAACCATCCTTCTGTGAAGGAGAGATAGGAAGTGTAGTAAATTACCACGACTCACTTGGCTAAAGCACAAGGAATTGTACAGAAAGTAGAAAGGAGATCAAGAGATGTGTATGAAAGAACACCCTGGGACAAAATCAGAAAGGTGAGGCACAAAACGAGGTAGAACAAGCAAGACCCACTGAGAATGACAAAATGCTATTCCATAAAAAACAAGAGGAAGGCCAAGAAGAAAAAGGTTATTTTATGCTCAGTGGGAAGGGAAGAGAACGTGAGGCCAAGTGTTTCACTTTCTGCTTCAGTCGCCGGCCCCGGGAGTGCAGGCCCGCAGCGCTGCAGCAGCAGCAACCGCGCGGGCAGCGGCACCAAGGGCCATGAGCCCCCAGGGCACGCTGGCTTAGGGCAACCTCAGAGACGTCCTCTGAGATCCTGCAGAGCTCATGGGAGATAGAGGAGGTGCAGTGGCAAATTCAATTCCTTCCATTATTGAAGGAGATGCTGATGGGAAATGGGGAATTAAGGATCCTTCAGCCGAACTTCACTTCCCAGAAAGAATTATCAAATAATAAGTCTGGCTTTAAACCCCTAGCAACATGACAAGGAGGAGTAAACATAAATTGGTGAGAGCACAAATTTAACCACTCTTTTTTTTTAATGGGTAGGAAAAGGCCATGTGCAAAAGCAGGTATCTCCATTACATCTTCACAAAAAAGGAGGCAGATTTCTTGTAGGCAGACTATCCAGCTCAAAACTTTGCTCACGGTGTAGTGAGAGAAATGAGGAAGTTCCAGAGGGACCTGGGCATGGAGCACCTTCATTAGGACTGGGTGATATTTGGCTGACCAAAGCAAAGAGACCCCTTTGCTGGTGAAAGTCAAGATCTGCAAAGATCTGAGCTTGGGTGGGAATGAAAAAGGGCACCTAACTGTAGCCTGGGAAAATGTCAGTGGAGCATTAGGAAATAGGGCTGTGCTGTATAAGGCATTTAAAATAATGGGRAGTTCTCAGAGGAGAACTCAGTTCTGGGGAGCACTGATGAGACTTTTACGAGAATATTGTATCCTGTTTTGGGCACTCTGCTTTTTTTTAAAAAAAAAAGTGGGGTGACCTGAGGCAGTAGATCCATGCCACAAAGTGATGCCAGTAAAAACCTGCATCTACAAAAGCAGCCCCACACTGCAGATCTGGCCTCTAGTCTACAGGCCGGAGATTTATGTCCTGTCAGGACATGAAAATTTTAGATTCYGCTTTGCTGTGAATTACAGTTTGGACCTAGCTGTGATTACAAAATAAGTATAAACTGATCTGCATAATTCAGAACATTAATCCAACCAATTTTTCTTTATTTTTGACATATTTTAAATTACTTTATCATGTGATTTGTTCCACTATAATTTCTTTAGGGAAACCAAAGACATGGCTCCAAAATATATACAAGTTTTCAAAAGACAAAACAACCCACAAGCTTGTGTAACTTGTGGGGGACAGAGATTTGGACCTTTTTGTACTGTGGGCTTTAAAASAGGCTTCTCTAAAAACTTAAGTCTCTGAATGAAGGCAACAGTATATAACTAGTGTAACGGGATATCAAGGGGAGTATCACACATGCCCCTGTATTCTGGTGGCTTSTGAGTCACAAGGAGGTATCTACAATTTCCTAAATAAGATGGAATAAACTGATTTTAGTGGCTACTTCAGGAAACTCTACCACGTACCTGCAGGGAGTAGACTCTGTTGGTATGCCCCTGCAGTGTGTGCAGGCAGGTCTCTGTCTCTGGATCCCACACCTTGACCATAAAATCGTAGGCACCACTTACAACCCTTCTGCCGTCGTACTGAACGCACCGCACTGCGGCTACGTGGCCCATCAGGACGTGTAAACACTGGCCCGTCTCTATGTCCCACACTCTGAGCGTCGCGTCCCGAGAGCCACTGACCACTCTGCAGAGACAAAAACACCCCTCCTGTACTTAGAGTCGTAATAAAAGAGTCAAAAGAACTGGGCTTGAGCATGAATCCGTTATAAGCTGAAAATCCTTTTTGACACTAGAGAGTATTAGCCGCTGCCAGCAAAGATCTGGCTTGATCTGACATCTCATTAGGGCTGCAAGTAACTCGTGTCCTTTTCTTCCTTGCCCATCTCACCTCTTCAGGAGCAGAGTATTTCACATAATTAGTGAACAGCATTTCAAAGGCAGTACAGTCCTGAGCAGCAAAATGATGCTCTGAGAAGCAACGTGGACCACTGCATCCATGTATGAAAGCTGAGGAACTCACTGTGCTCAAGGCCAGTGCTGTCCTGTCTTACTGTCCAGGAGCATCCTGTCTTACTGATGAAACTATATGCACTTACTAAACAAAGAGCTCATCTTTAAAAGTTCTACCTTCAGTAAAACATCACTTCTGCTGCTTCATTTGTATGGGTTATATTTTTAAAGCCTTTTTAGACTAGAACAGAAAAAGAATTCATGTTACTGGAATTCCAGTGATTGCTAGGTCAAAGAAATCCTTGGCATTCTACAAACAAACAGAAACCACTAAGGCTGCTCTATCAGCAACTCCGTATCTTAGCCAAACACCACAACTTTCCTGCTGTTTGCTATTGCAGAAATTACAATATAGCCAGTTAAAAATTTAACAAAATGCTGCAGAGACAATACTTGAAAAGTAAAAATCAGTTGGTAAAAATCAAGTTGTTAACATGGATAAAAAAGTTACAGAGAAAATTGATCATAGTGTAAGAGACTGTGAATGGTGAGAGACATGGGAGCTACTGGAGCAAGTCCAGCAAAGGGCTACAAAACGGTGAGTGAGGGTGGTGGAACAGGTTGCCCAGAGCAGTTGTGGAGTCTCCATCCTTGGAGATACTCAGAGGCCCTCTGGCCATGCTCCTGGAAGCCCTGCTCTACAAGACCCTGCTTGAGCGGGGGCATTGCACTAGCGRCCCTCCAGAGGGGCCGTCCTTCCACGTTGACCCACTCTGGGGCTCGGTAAGCACAGCAGAAAGGTCAAGGCACGCTGGGCTGCGGCCCTCAGCAGCGCTCACCTTTTCTCGTGGAGATGCATACAGCGCACAGTGGAGGTGTGGCCGTACAACGTGTGAATGCACTCCCCGGTTTCGGCATTCCAGACTTTCAACGTGCGGTCTGTCGATCCGCTGATGATGATGTTGTCCCTCATCTGCGAGGACCAGACGCCGCCTGTGTGCCCAACTAGGGTCCTCAAACACTGAAAACACAAATGGCGTTTGGTTGCGAGGGTTGAAGGGATGGTAAAGGCATGTGTAAAGCAAGAGAGTAATCTCTGCGATAGCAGCGGTCTAGAACAGGCCCCAAAACTTGCAGAGATTGCTCTACAACTGAAATAAAAAGGCCTGTATTTTAGAAAACAGTCACCAACCATCTGTATCTATTGCTGGCATTTTGATGATAATGAAACTTCCCTATAAGCTTGCTTTTGGTAAACCAGGCTTTCCAAAGTTCTCATTACAAGGCATCTTTTCGCAGCCCCAGGTAAATGTCCTTCCTGGCTTGCTTGCTTTTTTCCTCTCCTGAGTCACAGCAGATKCTTTTCAGCATTTTTTTTTTAAGCATTAATGTTAGAGCTACAGGGAAGTAAAACAGTAGTTTTACAACCAAAATGTAAACTACTGCTGTTGTTCTGCGTTTGCCGTCCCTCCCTCCCAGATTACATGTGATAACCCGTAGCTACAGCTGTGATACTGTGAAATGACATTTCAAACTCGCTGCTTCTTAACCATGCAGAAGAGCTGTTTGCTCACACTGACACCTGTAAAACCTGCATCACACRGAACCAGGACCCGGCCGCGTCCCTCGCTTTGTATTCCTTACCAGTGCTGACTATATAGTCTTCTTTTTTAACCATCACTAAATGATAATTAATACAGACATGAAAAGATCCTTGCCAAACCCAACTAATAAACCTACATTCAACCAAAGATTCAGCCTATTAATCACCTGCTTTCTAGCCCATTCCAATACATGCCACATTGTTTTTTGCATTGCTCCTTTTTCTTAAATTGTGTCAGGAGATACAGCCTTGTAATATACATAGCCAGCTATTTCAACCATATTATTTTTATCCATCAAACCTGTAACTGCATTAGAAAAGAGGTCAAGGCACTTGGATGGTCACTTTTCCTGTAATCTAATGCTGAGTGGCATTAATTTCCATGGCCCTCTCTTAACTGTTAGCTGACTCCTCTTCAAGTAGTCCAATATTTTCTTCTGAGATAATATATCCTAATTACCCTGTCTTTCAGTTTACTGCATTTAAATATTCATTAAATTTTTTTTTTCAGGTTTCTGCCAAGCTGTTGGCTCTTCCCAAGAACAGCTACCTTTTAGAAAACAAACAAACAAGAACACATCCCCGGCCCCCAAAACCACAACTGCCTTCCTCAGGTAGCCTTAGAAAAACCATCAGCTGCAGCCTGGCTGGATCAACTGTAATAAAAAGGCCTGCCTCTGGAAGCAGTTGTTTAATATCGGATCAGTTCCTGCTGAAATAAATTGTTTCATCATGGCATGCTGTATTTACTGCACATGATTTTTCTCAAAAAATAGACCAGAAACACCAAAAATCTCTTCTGTATCTATGTTTGTTCAACTAGTTCCTCCTGTTAAAATCCTTTTTGAATGTATATGAAAACTTCCTTTTTCGCCATGCATAGATTTCCTGTTCTTTAATATTTCTTACCACTTTTCCTGGCTTCTAGTTTATGTTACTGATGTCAATTCTCCTTTTCATTTCAGAGCTGTCTTTGGTATTTTTGCTAAGTAAGATTGCCAGTATTCTTATAGAAATCAGCTTCCTTTAAATCTGGCTCTCCCAGCATCTAGTAAAATTATTCTTAAACAGCTCCTAAACATTTTTGTTTAATTTATTTGATTTGCTCATATCTTAAGAAATCATTCTTCTAAAGAAGTAAGCAGACAGAATCCTTATTTTTGGTTGTTAACACCTCTTGAGTATAAGGTGAATATCCTAGTTCCATTTATTTGCACATATCAATTTTTTTTTCCCCTTTCTAATCAAGTCATTAACTCTTTACTATCAGGAAGCATAAGGGCTAATAGAGCAGCATAAGGGCTAATAGAGCAATCATCCTTCTTTCACATAGTATTTCAGGTCTACTTAAGGTTTGGGCAAAATAGTCACAGCAGCAGTTGTAGTTACGTTCAATAAAACATAAATTGGTAAGTCCTGCTTGTATGATTAAATGCTAAAGGAATATGTTGGTTTTGAGAGGATGGTAGGTGCATAGCAAGTATTTTTCACTTCAGGTTAGCCTACCCTTTTCAGTAATAAAAAAAAATTAGTGTTGATTTTAACACGGGTGCCTTCCTGAGGCAGACTGTTGTACGGAAGCCTCCAAGTTAGTTATGGCGAGGCTGCCCACTGCTTTTAATTTCACTCTTCCCCTCCACAGTATGTACAGTCTTATCAAGGAATTTCTAGGCATGCAAACACAAATGCCTAATACAGTCAACCTGAATAATATAGTGAATAATACAGATGTCTTGTGCACCTTAAGCATGTTATCCTCAACAGTTATCTCTTCTTGACACAACTGTGCCATTAAGACAAACCAAGTCTCACAATACTTGTTCAGAAGGAAAAAGTGTTATTTTCCTGAGGCCCTTCTATGCACTGGGAGTATGGCCAGTCACCTTAAAAACAAACTGTGTGCTGAGGAGATGTCATGTTCTAACATGAGTGAAACGTCTGGGGCTGTCTTTTTGATTGCACATATTGTTTTGCTTCTCTAAGCCAAAATTAAATTATGGAAGCTTATTAAATTCCTGCCAGAGCTGGATCTAATTTAATAGGAAATATTTAAACCTAAAGCAAGTTACATTTTTTTTGTAGCTTAGCAGTATAGCAGCTTAGAAAGAAGAAAAAAAAAAAAAAAAAACAAATAGAACTATGTACTTGAAGGCAGAGCCAGGAGAATGAACACACCATTTCAATAACTTAAAGGAGCAGAAAGAATGGTAGAAGAGAGCGAGAGAGCTGCAGAGGGGTAACTGCAGGCTAAATTAAGCTTTAAGGAATATAAAGTAATGTATCTGTCCAAATTCTCTAGAATTCATGTCACAAATGACTCTACAAGAATAGAGGAATTGCCAAGAGGACAAGGATATATGCCAACAGTAACACGAGCAGCAGTGTAATTTTGCATCAAGGTGACTTTTTTGAACCAGACTCTGTGCAGGAAAAGATGACCTAAATATTTACTAATATATTTTTTTCCTGATTCTTGCACCAGATACAACCGCTCTGCAGCGCAGTGTGATGCAAGTGTATTATGCACATGCTCTGCTGGCAGCTCCTTTCTAAGGAGCAGCCCCCTTACCTTGCCTGTAACTGCGGACCAAACTTTTAACGTGTTGTCATCCGAGCCGCTCACTATTCGGTTCCCGCAGAACTGGAGGCAGGTGATGACGTGGTCGTCGTGGCCTTTGAGCACCTGCGGTGCACAGCACAGAAACCTCATTCCCAACGTGCCGGGCATCGGGGGTAAACAGGAAAAACACAGTGCTACGCAGAATGCTCCACTTGCTTCAAAAATAGCGTGGCACAGGAATAAGGCCATGTGTCAAGACTAATTCACTGCCAGCTGGGAGCAAAGAAGGTGTTTTCCTCCTCCATCAAATAACATTGCATTGCCTATCAGATGTGCTACAGTTATTTAAAATCTTCTAGAATGTACCAGGATAAATCATTCATAGAAGTAGGATAAATTAGTAGCTGGACAGTGCCCAATTTCTCTGCAGCTATTCCTTGTTTCTTTGTTTTTTAATTACATTTGCCTTTGTCATACTCTTACCTTTTAAAAGGTATTTCAATCCTGAACAAAAGGATGTGGTTCTATTATGTGCTGTGTATTTGCACTTCTATGGTCAAGACTGAAATACATTTATATTTTCCTTGCCACACATTGTTATCTATTAAATTCTAGGCAGCAGCAAAGTCGAGAACTATAAAACCATAAAAATCATAACTCAATTAAGTACAAACAAAAATGGTGATTTAATGTGCTAAAAATGTAGATTGGAGCATTACTTCATAAAGATGGCATTTTCAATATTTGATATGGGAAAGCTGCAGTTTAGAATATTTTAATGCAACACAAGGAARAATGCTTATCAGAATAAATAAGATGAGGAATTTTTTGTTTAACATATCTGGATACTTTTCAAAATGTTCGTAGAACTGAAATGGGCATCTGGATAATGCCTGGGGCTGTAATTTTAATAATAATTCCAAGATAACTTGACGTGGCATATCAAGGCAAGAAATACTGAACCCCTGCCAGAATGTACATAAGTCATGGCCAAATAACAGCAGGGTCTACCCATAGTTGTTAAAAAGGAATTTCTATTTTTTTCTTGCTATTTTGTTGAATAGTAATCAAGAAAAGAAGGAATTTACTAGAAAGCCTTTCAACCTGCTTTTTTCCTTCATGTTTCTGGCTATTGATTTTTCATTACCAGGTTTGATTCAAGTGTTGGTATTTTATTTTACAGAGGTTAAAAGTATTGCTTCCCATCTTTGTATTAGAAAAGATACAAGAGGCCTGCAGTATTGATGACATTTAAATACTTCAAAAAACATAAAAAGCAGAAAAATCTTAACGAGGAATGAAGTTTGTGTCCCGCTCTGCTCAATTTGTACAAGYATCTATTGAGACAAAGCCCAAACCAATCACAGAACATTTTCATACTGGGGYATGGCACAGCTCTGTGTGTGTGTGTGTGCATGTGCCTGTTTACTTAATTTTAAGTATTTCCCATCAAGTCTCTGAGATGATAATTATCTCCTTCATAAAGACTGACATATGCACAGAAGCATTCACCAAATTATATTGGAGAGTTTTTTTAAAGTGGCAGTGTACAGTGCTGTACAAAGAATCACATTTTGATCTGCTTATAAGGTGCTCAGAAATTATTTTTAAAATGGGGTAAATTGAAACATAGAGCACGGTTTTCCTGGAAGAAGGTCATGGRTTTGTGTGTATTGATGGCCTGAAAATAAAAATAATAATTAAAAAAAAAAAAAGCAGCTGATCACTAGAGATTGATGCTGCTTAGTCATGGCACCCTGGACACAGCTCAGCAACTGATCTTACCTTAGGCGATTTAAGTTCCCCTCGCCGCCAGTTGGTATCAATTCTGTGTTGCCTAATGTACGCACTTTTCCACGGACTATGTATAAAGCCTGGCTTTATTACTTTCCTTCTCTTGATATGTAAGGGTTCATCGATCCCTGAAATGAATTAAAAAGGAAGGGGTAGGGGAGATGAGGTCCACCCGGAATCAAACAGCTACTCTCCCACCCGACCCTTCACAGTCCATTGAAATTAAATACCACATTGACCCAGTGACCTCCCAGGAGGACTCAGCTGCTCTCCCGCATGCCAATATTTGCATTAGTGCCAATGACACCACCCTGCCCCCGCTCTACGATATCCTCCCTTATCTTTTCAGCATAAGCTTTATCAGGTTATCAGGTGCTTGCAAATGCTGTCATTCATCACACTTTGCGAGCAATCTACTGGCTTGTCTTCAGACCTGAGAGAAGTCTAGCAGAACGCTGCCTTTRCAAAGGGGTCCACTACAACAAACCTCTCTTGTAGCCTCCTTCCAAAGACCTTCAGGARAACGGCCTTGTTTCTGTAGCCAGGGCACTAGCCCTGCCCTCTGGTCATGCCAACCCACAGTGTCCTTAGAGCTGACTCTCACTCCTGATATTGCTTTTAATTCTTGTTTTGATTAGAAGGGTATAAAAGAGGCTTTTGTCATAGCCCTCCCTGCCTTGAATTTAGGTGTAGCCATCTCCTCGTCATATTTAYGCTTAAGACGCAGCTGCTTTGCTCCATCCTGGCTGCAGCTTTTCCTGCGCGTCCCCTTCCGGCCTGACAGCCTTCGTGATCTCTCTGCTYATGTCCTTACTCGCACAAGTCTCGTCCTTGTCGGGATGGGAGTCGCCCTYCCCTCCTGCTCTCTTCTGCACTTGCTCTGGTGCCGCAATCGGCAAGTCTTGAGTGAACTGCCCCTTCTTAGGTGTGAGCACCTCAGGGCCTCAATCTTGCTTTGTTTGTGTGTGCGCTCATGCCTAGTCATACTTATTCCTGCTTCCAAGCTCATAAACGTACAATCWTTCCCCCTTCAGCCTTTCTTTGTTTTTCTCAGTCCATCCTTTCTTACTGTATGCTTGCTGAAATGTGTTAAGAGTCCTTTCTAAAGATTTAGGACACCAGACATCTGGTTTCTACTGCAGAAGAACAACTCATTAATTTAGGCCCCTTTAAAAATACCCAATTACTACATTYGGATGTTTTAATGCCTTTGCCTGTCCCCTCAGCCAGGGCAGGGCTGTCTCGGAGCCCCCAGGGCAGCCGGGGCGGGCGCGTGTGTCCGTGCTGAGCGCTCGGGCCCGCGTGGGGCCAGCCGCGCTCCCGTGCCGCGCGCCCCTCTGCGCTGCGCTGCGCTGCGCGAGCAGGGCGCCRCCGCGGCCCCAGCCCTTCCCTTGGCTCCAGCTGACACGCAGTTTCCCTCTCCTCCTTCCATCTTACCCCAACGCAGGAGCTTTTTCCTCACTGCTACTTACAACCTGCAGTACTGCATTTCTGTTCTCACTTGCTCTGCATTTTGAATAAAAATAATATTCAAAATGGCAATAATACTGTATTTTAAAAACATACACTCAGTATTYTGTAACTAGGCTGTTCAAAGTTAAGTCTAGTTTCATTTCTAGTACTCAATGGATTATTTCTACTCCTCGGTTTCAACACAGATATGTACCTTACAGGTCGAGACATCACTAGCAGAAAATCTAAAGTCACCTAAATTCCCTTCTTAAAACTTTAAGCTCATTATGTAAATGAAGCCGAATGCCCCAGACGTGCACTGCTTGTGATAGYGGCACTCTGGGCACTACACTCATCTTTTTGCTTGGCCTTACCTTCCTCTTTGCATTTCTCTCTCCAGAGAAGATTATCTTCAGCCAAAATCCTCCAGTAACGGCAGGTCTGGGCTGCCTGCAGAAGGTCCCTGGGTTCCAGGAATGACAGCACGTACAGTGCCAGCTGTAAAAGAGCAAGCGCACGGTCTGTGTTGCTTTGAAGAAGAAAWCTGAAGTAATGGATTAAGAAGCTATCTCAGAAACTTAACAGCCCTGCAGTTTACTCCAGCGGACACAAGAAAAATACAAAAATCATTTAAAATAACTAAATTTATACAGATAATATGAAAAAATGTAGATTATTTACAAGAAACTAAGTGAAATGACTAGCTGCTATGATACATTTTTTTAAAATGAGCCATATTAACCTGAACCATTAATAATTATATTGAAATGATTATCTCCAAGTTATTTTAACTAATGAAGTTATGAAGTTATTTGGGGAGTTTAACCAGCATATACGCCAGCCACAATACGAGCACCAAGACGAGACGTGTGCTGTGATGAGCAATGCCACTCAGTAAGCCTGAGCACAGGAAAGTTAACACTGCGTGCACTTGAGCTCCAAAATAGCCCACAGCTGCAGAGAATCCAGCAGCCTTATTTATTACTCATTTTCTGACTAGAATGCAAAAATATTTTTAAGGGATGTTTATCGGGGTTATTGGATGCTGAAGGAAGTGAAGCATATGCCTGCCTTTAATATTGTATTCATTGGGTTACCAAATAGATATGTGACACACTAGTAAGTGGTAAACTCATGAAGGGAAACTAGACTTTTCCATGTGATAAAATTAAAGGTTATTGAAAAAAATTCAGATCTCAGTTGACTAGGCTAAGCCACAAAACAACCCTGATAAAAACCTGAAAAAGCTCCACCTAAAACCTTTCTGTGTCTTGGAGGCTTGAACAGAGGGAGCACTATCATCTACAATACAAGCCAAAATACCGCAACCAGGATTCTTAGTGGTATCACAAACCATTACTTTTTTTTTTTAATTATTATTATTTTTCCCATTAGACAGGAGTGATCTATCTACCAGTTACTGGAAATAAAAATGCGAGTGGCAGGCAAGCCCTTTCCATGGCTAAGAACGCTGCAGAGGCAACAATACTGACAAATAAGTCAAGCACTGAACTAGTCACATTCTGAAATATTGGGCTCTGTCGGTAACATGCAAAAATTGTTAAGGAGATCAGATCATCCCCTTTCAGTTTGGCATATCTTTTTCTGTTAAGGTTTTTTTAAAATTTATTTATTAAGCTGGAGTTATACTGAATATAAATAGAACTTCCCCTCCAAGCAAGCACAGACTGAAAGCCAGAAAGGAAGTCGTAACCGTAGGCTGTCGACCTCAACAGATTTTTCTGACCTTATTATGAGATAAGCATTTCCTTTTTGTAATCTAGAGTACTCAGGGACTGGGAGGAAATAAAAATTGAGCACTGTGACTGCCCACGTCCCTGCTGGCAAACCAGCACCTGCCGGTCGCTTTGAGTACTAAAGGTTGAGGGCCCTGTGCCCAAGCTGCACCTTAGCTCCTTCAGGCACCTCTGCTATGAAGCTCAGGAACAGTCAGTATGTCCCTGCTCACTTTGGGGGTTGAAATTTGAAGTGAGGGGCAAGGAGCTCTATTCATTAAAAGAGCAGAACCTGGACCTGCCCTTTTAGGCTTTAGATATTTTTGCTATGTGCATTATGTAGGAGGTGGCCTTTCCTAACTCACATCGGTGTGGCTTGCAAGACCCAGACGTAAGCTGGAGCATTCCCCGCTACGCTGGATGCGCCTTAACTGACAGGAGCCTTTGTTAAATGTATGTCCTGTCTGGACAGATAAGGACATGTGCTGAAGATGGTGGTGATTAATACCCATGAGCCAAAGGACTTTTAAACCAGGTTACATATGGGTGGCATTATTTTGCATTACATTTGCTTAAATAAATTGGGGTCAACACAATGCATGGTTGACTTCTTTAGTATTAGAAAAAAAAAAAAAAAAAAAAAAAAAAAAAAAAAAAAAAAAAAAAAAAAAAAAAAGAGGGTGTCCCTTTGTCTCAACCAATGAACTGAATCTCATGAAAACTTCTAGTAGCAAAGACCGGCCTTTAGCTCAGCTGTATTAAGGACTAATCTTAATAATTTCAAATGATGTCTCTCACTGTCTCTGTCATTCACACTCATACAGCACCCATAAGATTTCTTTAGTCATTTTCTAGCCCAGTTTCTCCACAAACTGGTAATTTCCATGATTATTTCTCAAGTCTCAGTAGGAAAACAGGAATATGCATTTGAGACTGCCTGCYTGCATGTTTCTTCAGAAGGAAAGCAAACATTTGTGTGGTTATTCAGGTATTAAAAGACCTGTCCATGTACTGCTGTATACGTCATTGGAGGAGAGCCCTCCTATCCCTACCCAAGTCACCTCAYGTTCTGCCAGGCTCCAGGGAAATCCCGGCACTGCAGCCGCCAGCGCTGCGGAGACGCGCGGGACTAACGCGGGGCGGCAGCTGGGAGCGCTGCCCTCAGCCGCGCGGCACCGTCCCGCACCACCAGCCGCCCCCTGCGCCCGCAGCGCCTTGGGCACCCCCCGTCCGACTCGCTCGAGTCGCGGGGTGCAGGGTGCAAAGCCATAAATCAGAATCACTCAAGGAAACTGGGTTAACCGAGGAGGAGGAGGGCCCATGACCACGGTGGAGATGGGTTGGTGCTTTTTGTTGGTGTGTGTTTAACTCGCTTARTTTTAGTGACAGGAGAGCAGGATGATGCTGTGTGAGGAGGGGAAAGCGATTTCTTAAGCCAGTCTAGCTGGTGTAGTTGGCTTTTCATGAAGCCAGGAACCCGACAGCATTCTGGTTTCAACAGAACACCAGAAGAATACTAAAAATAAATACAAGTAGTTTACRATAGAACCTAGAAAAATATTTTTAAAAAAGTAAAGAGTTTTACAGCTAAACAGAATATCTTTTCTGTGAAGAAACTGCTGAACTGAAATAATGTATCATGATCACCAGTCACAACATAATCCAGCTGCTARTCAGACTTGGGCTAGTTTTGCCACTATATGATGTAAAGGCAACTGAACTGGGAATTATCGTCTATTCCATGTATTCAATTTCCAGATTTAGTGAATACAAAAGTGACAAAATGACTTCTGTGTCCTCAAATTATAAACTCTTGCTTCCTTCCTCTGTTTTAGAGGTAGGGCTGCCCTGGGCAGCCTCTCCAGAGATAGGGCAGCAAGGGCAAGGTCTCCGGCAGCACCACCTGCCCGGCCCCATGTCCTCTACATGYGCAAAGGCAGCGACCACAGAAAGCTTTCCTGTAAATACTCCCCTCAGAGCAGGTACACTCAGTTAATATTCATGGCATAAACTGCTTCCAACTCCAATAAAAGTTAATTGCAAAACCAAAGGAAAATCTCTGGCATTTCCTAATTCTTGAAGATATGACAGGGTATCAAAGAAGTGGTTTACATCTAAGTATTTCAAAAATAAGATACATTCCAAAAAGAATGTCAAGAGCTGGGGATAAAAACCAGTCATTTTTGTGGTTAATAAGATCATATCAAACATAACAACCAAATACTAGCACCAGAGTATGTGTAGGAACTTGATTTCAAATGTGTTAGTAAATGAAGACTTCCACATACCAAAACTCATTATGAAAATGTTCAACACCTTTATGAAAAGCCCAACACCTAGTGGATCTGAAAAAAATGAAAGGCACATCTTTCCCATTCCAAACAACAACTTTCATTCCCCCAAATTATCTGGGGYCTGGGGCTAGTAACTGCAGCAAACTAGATTTATAAGCTCTTACATCCATTCCTACATTCCAGTTGTGAGGATATAAAGAGTTATTCTTCTGTAAGCAACATGCGATTGTATATGCGAAAAACCACCACCAATTTAAAAAACACACAAAAATTAAATTTAAACCTATTTAGCCTGACAAAACATATTTGATTTGTACTCAAAGAATAGTCTGCAAGTATCTGCTCAACTAGGATTTGACTCTCTTCCTTAGCTTTCTGGTTTTATTTTTCCTTTGTAGAGTCTTTAGGGGTCAAATTGTTTGTTTTAAATAAACTCAAAGATAGCACTCACAAACACAAAACAAGAACAAACCAAACCAAACCCCCTATGCATTAAACAATAATGTATTCTGTAAGCTTATGCTTATGGAATAATGTGCAGTGACTTCTTGCATACAGAGGAAATTTTGCATATGCAAGCTCTAAGAGAATTGGCCCAATTCTGATACTCGAGCACTTTGACTTGTTTATAGGAGGCATCTGCATTTGTTAGTATCTAAAGGCTTACTACGAACGCATGTTAACCAGAAATGATGGTTATTTGGACAGTGTACCAGCTTGCAGCCCTTTTTAACATACTAATTTAAGAAAAAATGATTGCCATAATTAACAAACAAGTATTTTAAAGGTGGCAGCTGATGCACTGCGTTGTCCCACGTTAACTGACTTTTCTCACCTCTTTTGGGAGCAAGGAAATAAAGTCTCTTTGAAACTGGGGCTCTATCACTTGCATCATGTGTTTTACTTGTGTTGGTTCACAACTATCAATAAGTTCRTCTAAAGCAAGTAATTTCTCTGGTCCACTCCAGCTCTGCAAAGGAAAAAAAAAAAAAGTGTAAGTTTAGTGTAATGCATTAGTTTGGTTTACATTAATCATTAATAAGTGCTGTTGGTTTGTAAAACAAGCAAGTTAAATTTCCTTGTAGACCTGTATGCAAACATATAAAAAGCAAGCAAGCTAAATGATTGTGTTAATTACAGAAAAATGAGATGTTTAATCAACACAAAATATTCAAAATTACCGCACTGATTCTTAAGCTAAGAAAGGATTGTTACATACACACATACAAAAAAGAGCAATTACATAGGTAATCATATTTAATAATAATAATCAAGCCTCTGTTTAGTTGATGAACATTAGGCACATATTACTGACAATGAAGGGGGCTGCAACAATAGTCTCTTGTGCAGTCAAGACGGTAACTTTTAGCCTTAATATTTTCATCCAGAAGACCAAGGGCTGAAACGAAAGGGCAGTAAAGGAAAGACAAGGCACTTCTCGGGCAGGCGCACTGCACCGCCTGCTTGTTACGGCCGTATGGCCCTATGTGGCAATACTCTATTGCAGGCTGTGAACCAACAAATATCTTGTAAATATCAATTTATACCTGAATAAATTTTTACTAATCACATTTTTACTAATGGGCACTATAAAATGTGAAGATTTTTAATAAGGTGCTCATCTGAGAGTTTAGCAGATTAACAGCATCTTTTGTAAAAAAAAATAATAACTGGATATACTGCACATCTGACAAGCATGTCTTAAAGTCTTCTGTGCTTATCAAAGGGTTTGGATTTGTTATGCAGAAATAATTTAAAGAAAAAATAATTTCTAAAGGAAAAAACAACAGACACTGCTAACTGATTTAGCAACAGAATTAGAGCATGAATAAAGCCTTAGAGAGGGGAGAAAATGAGAYATCACAGTTTCTGAGAACAGAATCACATTCATATTCTTGAATGCTTTCTAGAGTGACATTTACAAGCAAATTAGCGCATACAAATTATATCACAGTTATGGTAAGAGGCTAACTGAAATTAAAAAAAAAGGCACACTAGAATTAAGATTTCTGCACCACTCTGCTAGGTTCCCTTATTGGCACCACAGCACATTTCTGTTCTCTGGATTTGGCTTTGACTGCTAACTGCTCTCCACAATCCTACACCATTTGGGTACTGTAAAATGTCTACAGACCAAGGAGGCCAGTAARGGAGAAGATGGAAAGAAGAGGGTGACCTACAACTCTCCCAACACCCTGCTCTGCTTGATGCGTTCCATSATTTCTCCCTCTCCAATTAAAAGATCAAAATAGTCACAACGTCAAGAAAAACATCACTTGCTCCAATGCTGGCGCCCTCCCACCCGTGCACACACACGGGTACGTGCGCGGTCACCATACGAGCTCCGCACCTACAGAGCCAGGAGCTCACAGTGCTAAAAAGAAACAAAGCAAAAACCTCTTAGCAAAAGTTACAGAGGTGCCACTATAAACAGCTTTTATTGTACATTTCTTTCAACAGAAACATTTGCATCAAAGAGTTCTCTGTAGATCAYGTACAGAAAAACTGTTTATCTCACCAACTTTCCAACTCTTGTTTGTTCCATTAACCCAAGGCTTAGTTGGTATTATGTACAATGCTTCAGCATATTTAATCTTCTCTGTCAACAGAGTTTGAATTTAGGAGAATGAAAGGGGGAAAATAATACCTGTGTTACTTTATTCTAATATTAATTGCCAARGTCATTCTACTCAATTTGTAAGCAGCTACATTCATTAAAGTGACTCTACCCAAATACCACTGTTCTTTTTTGCTATGGCAAACATTGCTGCAATTGGGAACACGTATTAATTAATTGCATTGTACATTATCTTAATCCGTAATTTTCTTATACATACGCATTTCTGTTTTTTAAAATACCATACAGAACTGACCAGAAAAGATCCCCTGGGGAAAAGATGCTGGTGAATAACAGCAGTGCTATTTTCCATGTGCACACTCCTCGCTGGGGGATGGCGATGGACTCTTTCTCAGGAACCAGCTGCTCAAAGATGTTTTCCCTRGGCTGTTGTCCCCCCTGCCTCTCCCTTAAACAAACAAGCCCCCAGCTAGAGTCAATAGCGGGGCTCTCAGGGAGATGTTTGGCATGGAACATTTGAAGTGGGTGTCTTGCCAGACAGAGACAACTGGTCCTGCCAGGACACAGGCACAACTTTACCCCTAGCAAATTTGCATTTCTGGACCCCACAGCTTGACCTTTCTTAAAAAAAAAAAAAAAAAAAAAAAAANAAAAAAAAAAAGTATGTAGCACATGTAGCAGAGACAGAGAAGGGAAGGACTAAATGTGGGGCTTTTATGAGAGAACAACTCATGTCTGAAAAGAGCTAAAAGCCACCACACGGGTGTTGAGCAGTTTGCAATGCTTCAGACATCTSAGATGACCAGAGAGCTCTGAGACACTTGGTGAAGCGCCCAGATTCTTTGGATTTCTACCAGGTGACTCCCTTTCAATTGAAGATCTTTGTTTGGCATATGGTATATCTCTAAAATGCATTTGCATAACTAATTTTGTTGGTCCTAAAAACTTCAATTTAATTCTAATGCAAAATTAAAATCAATTTTTTTATTATGGGTAGGGGTTTCTCTAGAGAAAAATAATCCCAGGATTCATTCATATTCTCCTTGGAAGAAGGGAACAGGGCTTCTGATGTATTCCTTAAAGATTTGAGACTCCTAAAAAATAAATAAATAAATCAAAATCAATCCCTCCAATTCCCTCGGGGTAGAGGGAGGGCTTAATTTGTCAGCCCAGGCCTTTTGGAGGCTCATACTGCTCCATCATGCAGCATGTGTTACCTGCAACCACAGCACTACTTGAAAACTATCCCTCAATTTTYTCTATAGCTGTTATGTTCGAACATCCCTCCTTCATTTTCAGACATGCCAGTGGCTTTATATTACTGTAAATCACATCTTGCTACTCGTACAACGCGAGACGCATCACTCCTCCTGCCCTGCCACCTGCCTCCTCCCCATCTCCTTCTCTACCTGTGCCTCTCTCTACCACGTTCTTCCTACCGTGTGGCTCTGCTCTGCAGACTCCAGCGTGCAGCAATCGGATCCTTCTTCTATCCCAGGTATACGTAGGGCACCTTCTGAGTAATTTTTGGGGTGCTGGTCACCGTTACTAAATTCTGCATTWGTTATGGTGACCCCATCGCCCTCCCTCTCGAAGGCGCCTTGGTTTGGATGAAATCAGCACATCAGCAAAGGCTGCACATGTCTGCACCACACACGCCCCGACCCCTGTCACGGGTGGGCTCTCCTCAGGCAGAGCTTCCTTGGAAAAAGCCTCCTTCACCCCCACCAGAACTGCCCCGAGGCCAAACCAGCGCCAGGCCAGCAAGGAAAATCAGGAGGTTGGCTTCCACACTACTGCTCTGCACCAAAGTGCTCATGGAGAGGCAGCCAAGGCAGTATGTGGTCATGTGGATCTTCCTGCTCTGGGTGCAGGCACTGCATAAAAACCAGAAGCCTGAATTAGTCCTGCAAGAATATAAAGCAGAAAATGCTGCAATGCTGGTAGTTTTACTGCCTCCTTCAAATAAGAGAAAGGACCRGAGAACCTTAAGCAACTAATTTGAATGAAGGTGGTGTAGCCAACTGTTTAAGTGAAAGAAAAAAAAGAAACAGTACTCCTGCCAACCAGAAGCAGCAAAAGGCTTTCTTAAAGCTGGTGATGTCTTCAGATGGGCACTACCTAAATCGGTGAGGAAAAACTGCTTCCTATTTCAGGCAAAACAGTAGCGTTCACTAGCTCCTCAAAGGGCCTGCCTCTACTTACTGTGTGTGGCGCAAGCTTCCAACACCACCACGTACCCATCCAACCTATCCTGAAAAGCTGCATCATGGTAAAGAAACAAAACCCAGCACTACAGATGCAAAGCAGGATGAATGAAGACAGAAAGGCAGAATTTAGTATTTAAAACAGCACTGTCTCTGAGCTGAGCATAGATATTTTTTTAAATGGCAAAAATTTGGTAGTGACTTCAAAAAAAAACAGCTTTAAATAAGATAAAGTCTTTAAAAAGAAAAAATCCTATAAATGTGTGCTTAGGCTCTCGGTTTAAAAAACTTACAGTGGATATCAAAACCTAAGGATCTGAAGCCAAGAGTGATTACAAAACAAAGCAAATAAATAGGCCTTGTAATTGAAATGGTTTGACCCCCTCACAGTGCTTTTCTATTTTTGRTTCTAAATGAAACTCTTTTGGGATTAATACACAATGGCATTTTCCAGGAGGGAAACAAATAWACTTTTTCAATCACTTCTGCATAAGTTTTTGTCATGTTCAAAACAGTGGAGTTAGGTATCTATTTAGTTACATTTTCTAGTGATAATGTAACAGGAACATTAACAAAAAAAAAGAAAAAAAAGCTTTAAAGGACATCTTTGGACTTCTTGAAATTTGAAAAGTAGTCTCACTATCTCAGTCTCAGTATCCAAAATAACCATGGATAATGTTTGAACACCCCTGGTCAAACAATTACGGCCAGGTGCCACTTGTTACCATCAGCTTCTAAGCCAAAGGATGGTTCTACCTTGAAAACAGTACATGCACCCAGCAAATGAGCTCCTGGAAATSCAGCTTAAAAACGCATCAGAAATATATTTTAATATAAATTAAGAYAGTGTTTATAAAAAGTTTTAAAGAAATCCTCCTACTTCCACTTCCATATAGGAAAACGTCTGTAATGCAAGAATGCTGTTCCATGTACCACTTAGTTACAACCTTTTGGGCAGAGGGGTCTCTTCACTTTAAGGCCATGATTTTATCCTTTGACTATTTCGGATTTGTGATATTTTTTTCTTTAGCAAATAAATTTCACACGGACAATAAACACCGGAGAGTGAGGAGCCTCGACATCAACCAAGGAGATGCGGCACTTGAAGGCAGCTCCAGGACTCCGAAAGCTTTTGATGCTAAAACAAGGGAGGCCCCTTGCACGACCGCAGGAGCAGCTAAGTGASAGCAGCAATCACCGCGTGCTACGAGATCAGCTCCAGCCTGCAAAGAGCCCTGCCTCTCAGGAGCCCAGGAAATTAGTCCTGAAACTGAGTATTTTGAAAAGCCTGTAGCATCTCATTATGTATTTACCAGAAYGTGCTTCTCCCATTACTAAACCAAAATTTCTGAGCCTAAAATAATGACAACCTAGTTACAGGCAAAATTTCTATGGCCTTGCAGGCTTCTCTTCCTATCGGTGAGGGAACAGCTGATAGCATCATTTTAGTGCCAAGAGCGCTCGCACCACTCTCAAACGTTCAGCCTTTCATAATCTTTTCCTGATGGAACGATTGGTAATTAGTGATCTTACATGAAAAAACACACATTAAGCACCTAAGATAACAATAAAATAGCTTTTTGTTAGGGTGAAGGCTTTTACATTAACAAAACGATAAAATCATTATCAGCATCAGCAGCATCAGCAAGTATCATATATATGAAGTAACATTCAAACATGATTCTTAAGGGTTAAAAAGTCATCTTTCTATGAACCATCTTAATAAAGATACATCACAATAATTAAATTTGAATACTTATAAGAAGCTGAATGACATATACAAGAATAACCAGTTCCAGACTTCCACTGTTTTAAACAGACTTTAAATATGTGAAAGAGGGGAAGAGTTTTCCCATTGCTGTTTTTATGTTCAAAACTGACGTTTATTGAGATCAACTGCATTGCACAGCAGCGTGCACCCAAAAGCCATAGGCTTCTGCCTGCAGAGCTGCATGTTCACTGCAATGCCTGCCATGCTGCTATTCTGTCTTTTAAAATGTCGCAGTAATAAATGAAACATGCCTGTACAGATGATTTATTCCTTCTGAAAATATGTTAGAAGCAACAGTTTACCACCAAATAATATTACTATTTTTCAAGTCAGTGACTAGTAGTGACTGCCCACTACTTAAAACCACATAGCTAAACTACATAGTAAGAGATCTCCAGGACACAGCTTACGTAGTGGGCACACAGGCCTGTGAGAATATGTATTTGTTGGAATGCACACAAAATTAAACTTGGTTATTATCAAATTGGCATCCATGGAGATCTTCACAGCCATTTTTTTCAAGTCGTGCATACCACTGTCCTTCACACTTTTTTTGTGTGTGTGYGTGAATCAAGTTTCAGGCTGCTTGAAGGACACAGAAAAGCTTTTTTTTTCCTCTGCCTTTCAATTGTACATGCAATCACGAACTAAAGCTGTATTCAGGATTCAAAGATCAGTAACAATATACACTGAGTTTTCTTTGAATCTGAGACACTTTTGACAATTATATCTTTCTCTCTCACGAGACACTAGCCTGAACAACAAATTCAATGCTACGCTAAACAGCACTGGTAAATGCTATTGCTATCACTAGCAATAACTAACTCTTACCAACCACCAAGTGAAAACGTCTCACAYGAGCTTGAAGCCACGGAAACAGCCATCACATGTTGCAGAGACTTTGCAGAAAATGTGCAAGTACTGAACAGTAGCAGCTGTTTTGCTCAGAAACCACAGAAAACAGTATTTTGGCCAGTTTTTGTGTGTCTGTACTGTAAATCTGCATGGTAACCAGMTGAAATGGGCAACCGTCTTTCCCTTAAGTTGGTGGCCATTCACGCTGTCAGCAGTGTGYGAGGTCAGTGACAGGCACACTTGGGGTACATCAAGCCTCCTGGCTGCCCTTAGGGAGGCAGCCCTTTCCCTGAACCCCAGGGCAAGCTCTTTCAGAGCAGTGCCTACCTGGAACATCTTGAGCCATTCCTGGAGGCCCGTGGGTGGCTGCACAGACGTAATGCGGCGACGCTGCTGCCCCTGCCCGTTGGCTGCCCTCAGGTCCCCAAAAGTGGTAGGTGTGGCAGAGCACGGCACCAGCCCCGTCGTACTGCAACAATAAAGCATTAAGGAAACTTCAGAAGTCTACTGCAGGAAAAGAAATCTAGTATAAAGTTGCAATTATTAATTAAATTGAAGTCTTCAACTTTATGCAAAGAGATTACCAAGGYAGCAACATGAAAAACATCTGCTGGCCATTCATAGGGGCAGCTTCCACGCTTTCATGAGCTCAGGTGTTTCTCCCATGACAGTACTTCCAGGTGGGAGTGGAAAATGGGGGATCATCACCCAAGGCTCCCCCAAAATACCACTGCATTTACTGTCCAGAAGGGTTTCTCTAAAGATCTCTTTCCAGAATATTTCTGTGCCTTCCAAGCTCCCCTTGTGCCTTCTGACTGGTGTCAGGGCACCAGAGTTCAGGATCTCTCCTCTATATGAAATACATTACTGTTGCTTCACTGCCAAATTGGAAAAAAATCTATTTTTATTTCTTAATATATTTTGTTGACAATGAGCTAGTAATTTGAAACCATTTTAGTGGTTTAGTAAATTGGAATTGGATTTTGAAATATCCTTCAGTATTTCAAAGCTTGCATGTTGATGGAGTGACACAGGAGTTGATGGGAACGTTGAAGTAAATGGGGAAAGGAGCCTCAGATACTTTCTCARTTACAATTTGATTTTTCACTTTGAGGGGTTAAGAGACAGCTCATTCACATGGAATAGAGGTTTAAAAAAAAGCTAGAATTAGGCTGCTGCTATAGGAGCTTAAAGCAATGTGGCCACGCTTTCTCTTATTCTACATTAAAGTACTTTGTTCATGGGATATCAAAGTTACATTCCCTCGCAGAAACTCTGGAACTCTAAAACTAAACATGAAGAAGATGAATATAGCGTGGGAAACCAAAACCACGTTGCTTTTGCGAATGATAAATCAAGTGTTTAGTACGTCTGAGCTTCAGGGTTTTACTGACATTTCAGTGGCTACAGAAACAGCTTCAAATGATGCAAGGCAGGTTCATTTTAATATTTATCTCATAGTAATGTATAAATATTTCACTATTTTATCCTTCCTGCTCCCAAAAAATAATCACCGCATGTTCTAAAAATTTACACAAGCCAGTAAAGAAATGTAAAAGTTGATTTGAATAGGCTTATTTCTTTACTGATAATTCTACTGATTCATAACAGAAACAGAAGCTGATGCAAAAGCAGTTTCACAGATCAAGGATCCTCATCTAATGACATTTGTTTACTGACTTTACCTGTTATATGCAAACAAAGTTTGTCAGACCTGTCAATTTTAAAGAGTGCCTGATCTTAAGGAACATGGAGATACGAGAATTATATCATCTGCCTCAACTTGTTAAATAAAATACAATCTAACAGTTTAAGAGAGAGATCAGATGCTAAATATTTTTAATGCTAATCATAATTCAAAATCCAAGTAATGATGATAACAAAACAATTCCTTTAAACAAAACGTATTTTTATAGCTTGCTCATGCTTACCTACAGAGATGGCCCAGCAAAAGTTCCACTTTTTAAACTCCAAAGCAAGGCTCTTAAATTKGGCTTCTATTGGATCTGAGCAATGCATAGCCTTGAGCTTTCCACAGCAGATCAGTTGTACTTTATTTTAATTTCTTCCGCTGTAAACTATTTCTCAGTCAAAAACAGCCATTCAAAACAGTAGCTAAAAGCCTTTTTCTTTTAACATGAGATTTAATGAGAAGGTTTCTTTTCATACTTTTTTTTTTTAATGTTTTTTTTTTTTTTATTTGCCTGAAACAGCCAGCCAAATTTCTGGAGTAGGAGGCAAATGCTGCACTGCTTTTGGACCTGACTGATACACTGGACAAAAGATGTATCCTTTAGCTTGCAAATTGTTTACTTTCACAGAAGTGCAACAAAATGTGTGTCATATGAAGAACTCGTGGCCAAATAGAGTGTTTTTCCATCAGAATAATTTAAAAACCTGGAAAAGCTACTAACTTGAAGGAGACATGGAAGCTGTAACGTGTTTCTCAGCAACAAGACATGATCTCTTTTTCTCTTGTGCAGCATTTACACATCYGAAAAGCTATCACAGAACCTGTTTTCCCACATTATCTTAACTTTTCACACATCATCTCATAAAGCTCTTAACRGAAGAGGAATAAAATACACACTACTTTCCAAAGATGCACTGCTCACTGAGTACTACGATAACGTATTCAAAAGAAGCAACATCCCCAACCGGTTTTAGGTGGCAAGTACAAGGCTTGTAGCAGGGCTAATRCATATTGTAGGAAAAACTGATAGTGGAGCAAATTCCAAAATGATGGAATGCAGTACAGCATCAGAAAGCAATTGTTATGGCAACTCTGTAGTAAGAGCTGCGGCTGCAACACGTGCATCCAGAGCCCTCCTCCCCCACCACTGCTCCTGTTTGGTAGTGCCTTGTTCTGCAAGGAGCCTTCCAAAATAACCGCAGTTATTTGTGCAATATGCTGCCACTTAGGAGTAGTAAGGAGGCAGACTAGAACCTTAATAATTTCATATTGTGAATAACAAGTACGTGCGTGTTCCTGTTAAGATCAGATGGTCTGCTCTGCCTACATGAATTTCCATTCTCTCATTCCTGTTGCCATAGCAAAGTGATACATTTGATCACAATTTGTAGCAGTCTTAGGGTTTATCACTATCTCTTTTTTTTTAATTTTTTWAAAAAAGATTGATACATATCGCTAGGAATTCTGGTAAGAGTCTCTAAGTACATCAGCATACTTTATTAAGAATTAAACACAAACCTCAACAGAAGAAATGCAAGTCTGGCTACTTCATTAAAACTCATCATCAGTTTTCATAATTTAAAGTAGCTAAGCAGCATATGAAAATTGATGCCACCCCTTCTTCTTCTGTACAGCGCTTAGCCTTAAAAGGAGCTATGAATCAGGCTGAGAAACTGGAGAGATGGGATATACACAAGTAGCATGATTCAGTGATCTCGTACTGCATTTAATTACCTTGTGTATTCAGAGACTTTGCAGGGTTTCTTTCCCAGAGAGAAAGAACGGACCTCGGAGCCATGGTCCAACTTCCTCTTCATCTGCAAGGTGAGGGAAAAAGGGAACAACCAGGGTTTAGTTACATGACCAGCCCCACTCGGACAACACTTCCATAAGATAAATACACTTTAATTTTGCATTTCAACAAAGTCAACATTCATAAGATAATTTAAAGCAGTGTTTTAGTTTGCCTTCAACTAGTAATRTTTGATACTTCTTTTTCCAAGGTATACACATGTATTTTGGCATTTGGGGCTCCAAAAGCTATCAGRATAACATTCTTTTGCTGTCCAAGTTTCAAATATTAAAAAGGACACACATATCTGCATGGTTCCTTCTCTCCAGTTCTTGGCACTCAGGTTCATTGCCAACTCTACAGTCGCATGGAAATGGTTAAATTTTAGCTAACCTGTCTGCATTGAAACAAATATTCATTTTAGGCACCGGGAAGAATATTCAAATATATCACTTCTTTAACACATTTAACTCTTCATTTTAAAGTTGCATATTGATAATATTCATAAAACTGCAGTAAAACAGACTGCAAGACGAACAGATGTTTTTACAAATAGGGTAAGGATGAAAACCACGACATCTCAGTCAGGAAAGTCACCCGCAATTAGATAAGATCCAAAATAGATAGTGAGCAGGGCAGCTACTCCAAGGGGAACGCAGTCTGCAAAAATTGCCAGAGAGCTGGGGACCCGTGAAAGCCATAYTGAGGCAGTCAGACAAATAAAGATCACTTTCTACAGACTTAGGTAATCTTTAACCAGAGGCTCGAGGACTCCCTGAGACGTATTCCTGCCGAATGGCATTTCTGGGCTTTTTTAGTGGTGTTCCTTTTTCCCTTGCAGACGTGATTTAGAGAAGCCTCTAASCAGCAGAAGGATGTTAGTGCTGTTTAGAAGTAGGAGCTGCATAATACATAAACTACCTGGGCAGTAATTTAGATTTTATTATTTCCCTTTCCTTTTTTTTTTTTTTCCCCTAAATCCTATGGAACATACACAGTTTGGAAGTTGCCMTGCAGCACGCAGCACCGGCTCCCTGTCCCTCAGCGCTGCGCCAGGGCACGATGCTCACTTGGCCGTTCCGCGCACGGTGCTCCGGGCCCCCAGCCCGCGCTGCCGCGGCGCCGGCTCGCACCGCTCGCTCCGCTCCGCTCGCTGCCGGCCCGGCCCCGCCGCCCAGCGCCGGCTCCATCTCCGCGCGCCACCTCCATGCCGGGCTCTTGCGGCAGACTTCCCGGGGCCCGGGTTTCTGCGGGGCACCCTCCAGCCGCCGCCGCGGGCGCTGCAGCCGTGCCCGCCGCTCCGCTCCCGCGGCTCGGGGCGGCCCCGTGCGGAGCCGCAGCCCGGCCGCTCGGGGCAAGTTTCCCCGCGCTGCCGGGGCCGCCGGCGGGCAGCGCCGCTCGC